CACAATCACTCGCGCGGCCGCATTCTGGACTAGCTGAAGCCGCCGGATGCTCTTCAAGGGCAGCCCCATGTAGAGCACATTGCAGTATTCCAGCCACTTTCCCTATTTGAAGGTGATTGTGTGTGTGTGTGTGTGTGTGTAAGGGGAGAGATTTCTGTAACACAGTGCTGCATCCAATTGCCAGCAAGACTTGCTGCAATAAATGGTCTCAGAATGAAGATTTATATTTAGCGAAAGTTTAGAAACATTGCATCATTCACAGCTTGATTTCTTAGCTTGATATTTAATCTAGAATTTGTAAAACATTGGATGCCAGGAACTGAAATATAAAAATAAAGCCAAACAGTCTTAAGCCATTTTTATTTTATTTTTATCCATTTTATTTTTTAATGCCCTTTTGCAGAGACAAGGAAGCCTACAGTGCTGCCATGGAACATAAAATAGAAGTGTTTTATGCAATCATAAACTTGGTAGATTCTGTGCAATGATTTGGCATCGTGTACCCGCGTAAGAAAAAAAGTATTAAGCACTTGCAACTAATAAGTAGATATGTGAGTGGGGACTTTATAATGAAATGATTTGCATACTTAGATTCCCCCCTAATTGTATATAAAAACCATTCCCAGAATTTTAAGCCTTGATGAAACCTCGGCTGTCTTTGACAAACTGTTGACAGCAGTTGGTGTGAAAATACATATTCTTCACCCGTGCATCTGGACCAGTTTATCTGGGACAAATGATTCACACAATACGTCATCAAAATCTTACACTGTCCTTTCTATCAGCATTCCCTAGACAATCAACCATTCTATGAAGATTTCCTACTTTTCTGATAAGGCTTTTTATCAGATCAGCAATGTTGCAACATTTTGAAATCTAACACCAAGGCAGGGGGACCTCTAGTAAGATTTAAGATGCCTGATGGATTCTTGCACAGTTGATATTTATTTGCGATTATTTTGTTGCTCCTTTTTTTTAAAGACTTCACTGGTTAAAGCTTGCTTTTTTT